TGATTTCAAGTCTCTATAAAGTTTATCCTCTTTCCACTGCAGTGTACTATTTCTCTGAAGTAGCTGTTCTCTTGTTTTCTAAATGACAACCACCGTAGACCCTAGATAGTCCTTTATTCTACTCTCTTTACTTATCCTTTTACCATACTATCTCTTGTTCTCTTTCATTTTGTTTTTCATATTCCCTCAGTGTTCCTTTATGTACTTGCTTTTTTCTGATTACCTTTCTACCCTTTTTCACGTCCCTCTACTCGAAGGTTTCTCAACCTCGGCAGTGCTGACATTTTGGGCTAGATAATTCTTTGTTTAGGGGTAGAGGGATGCCCTGTGCATTGTAGGATGTTTAATAGTGTCCTTGGCCTTTACCCACTAGGTGCCAGTAGCACCACTCCATTTGGGACAAAACTGTCTCCGACATTACTAAATATCCCCTGGGGAGTAAAATCAACCATGCTTGCAAACCACTGCTCTATTCTGTTGGCTTTTGTACCTATTTCCCCTCTGGTTCTTTTTCTGCTCTATCTATATTTTCTCTATTTTTAAGTTTTTTTCACCCAGAATCATTACAAACATGCGTATCTAGAAAGTGTAAGGTGCTACCTCTCGTTTATTTATGTGACAGTACTGATTCTTATCAGTAATACATGACCAGAGGAAGTTGTTTTTCCAATAATGGTGAAAGACTTGTTCTGTTCTCACATTCTCTGGCACACACTCTTGTGCATTTTTTAGTTAGTTGATATAAAGAGCTCTTTCTGTTGTGAAGGCTGAGTATTATTAAATTCATAATTTTGTCCTCTTGAGTATATGATGTAACCAGCTAAGCACTTGATAATTTCCTTAGATTGTCCTATATCCCAAACAATCAGCCTCTTTTCCTTTTATTTTTTTTCTTTCTGCAGTGGAGAGGTCATTTATAGGTTTTCTTTTTGTTTGGCTAGGTTCTGAAGCCAGACACAAGATGAAAAAGTTAACTTCATTGCAGAAAATTTCTGAAGAATTAGTATCATATGAGGTATCAGTGGTAAAGCAAGAGAAGGCCAAGAAAACCTCTGAAAAGTTATATAAATGTAATGAATTGTAGACAGTTTCAGACTTGCACTCCCTACTAATAGTGATGAATGTAAGAAGGTCTTCTTTGAAAACCTTAATTTTGTTGAAGATCAGAGTGCTCGAACAAAGGAGCAGGGCAGATACGCTGAATATGAGAAACTCTTCAATCAGATGTCATTGCTTGTTAGGCATAAGCAAATTCTTACAAGACCAAAATGTTACGAATGCAGTGAATGTGGAATAGTCATCAGATGTGAGACAGATTTTGTTCAACATCAAAGAATTCACACTTCAAAGTATCCTTTTGAGTGTAACATTTGTGGACAAGCCCTCAAACAGAAGTCAGCTTTTACTGTCCATAAATGTTACCCACCAGAAAAACCATATAAATGTCATGACTGTGGAAAGTTTTTTCGTCAGTTCTCATATCTTGTTGAACATAAAAGGATTCATACAAAAGAAAAGCCCTATAAATGTAGTGAATGTGAGAGAACATTTAGTCAGAATTCAACCTGTATTCGACACCAGTTAACCCATAGCGGAGAAAAACTCCATAAATGCCTTGAATGTGGAAAAGCCTTCAGTCGACCGTCAACCCTTATGAGGGATCAACAGATTCATACTAGACAGAACACTCATAGATGTAGTGAATGTGGGCAGTCCTTTAGTCGGAATGTAGATCTCATTCAACATCAAAGAAACCATACCAAAGAGGAATTCTTTC